CCCACTAAGTTTGTGGGAATTTGGTGTGCAGTTGCGTCACAGGGAAAATTAGGCAATTGACACCACTAGTGAGCTGGATTTCCACTTAGCTTATGTGTAACTGTTTGATGCGTGCTGGACTGAGAAAGTTAGGAAATTTACCTCAACAATTAGTTAATTAACCACCTCTGTTGCATAATTGCATGTTTGTGGGAATCTGGTTTGCAGCGGCCTCACAGGGAAAATTAGGTGATTGACACGAGCAATTAGTGAATTTCCACTTAGCTTCTGTTTAAGTGGTTGATGTGTGTTGGACTCTGGAAGTTAGGGAATTTACATGAACAATCAGTAAAGTAACAACTTGCAATTCAAAAATTTCATGTTTGTTGGCATGTGATCCGTAGCGGGCCTCATAGGAGAAATTAGTCAATTGACACGAGGATTTAGGGGATTATCCGCGTAGCTCCTGTCTAACGGTTTCATATTTTGTTGAATCTGTCAAGTTAGGAAATTTACATGGAGAATCAGTAAATTACCCACTAAGTTTGTGGGAATTTGGTGTGCAGTTGCGTCACAGGGAAAATTAGGCAATTGACACCACCAGTGAGCTGGATTTCCACTTAGCTTATGTGTAACTGTTTGATGCGTGCTGGACTGAGAAAGTTAGGAAATTTACCTCAACAATTAGTTAATTAACCACCTCTGCTGCATAATTGCATGTTTGTGGGAATCTGGTTTGCAGCGGCCTCACAGGGAAAATTAGGTGATTGACACGAGCAATTAGGTGAATTTCCACTTAGCTTCTGTTTAAGTGGTTGATGTGTGTTGGACTCTGGAAGTTAGGGAATTTACATGAACAATCAGTAAAGTAACAACTTGCAATTCAAAATTTCATGTTTGTTGGCATGTGATCCGTAGCGGGCCTCATAGGAGAAATTAGTCAATTGACACGAGGATTTAGGGGATTATCCGCGTAGCTCCTGTCTAACGGTTTCATATTTTGTTGAATCTGTCAAGTTAGGAAATTTACATGGAGAATCAGTAAATTACCCACTAAGTTTGTGGGAATTTGGTGTGCAGTTGCGTCACAGGGAAAATTAGGCAATTGACACCACTAGTGAGCTGGATTTCCACTTAGCTTATGTGTAACTGTTTGATGCGTGCTGGACTGAGAAAGTTAGGAAATTTACCTCAACAATTAGTTAATTAACCACCTCTGTTGCATAATCGCATGTTTGTGGGAATCTGGTTTGCAGCGGCCTCACAGGGAAAATTAGGTGATTAGAGCAATTGACACGAGCAATTAGGTGAATTTCCACTTAGCTTCTGTTTAAGTGGTTGATGTGTGTTGGACTCTGGAAGTTAGGGAATTTACATGAACAATCAGTAAAGTAACAACTTGCAATTCAAAATTTCATGTTTGTTGGCATGTGATCCGTAGCGGGCCTCATAGGAGAAATTAGTCAATTGACACGAGGATTTAGGGGATTATCCGCGTAGCTCCTGTCTAACGGTTTCATATTTTTGTTGAATCTGTCAAGTTAGGAAATTTACATGGAGAATCAGTAAATTACCCACTAAGTTTGTGGGAATTTGGTGTGCAGTTGCGTCACAGGGAAAATTAGGCAATTGACACCACCAGTGAGCTGGATTTCCACTTAGCTTATGTGTAACTGTTTGATGCGTGCTGGACTGAGAAAGTTAGGAAATTTACCTCAACAATTAGTTAATTAACCACCTCTGTTGCATAATTGCATGTTTGTGGGAATCTGGTTTGCAGCGGCCTCACAGGGAAAATTAGGTGATTGACACGAGCAATTAGGTGAATTTCCACTTAGCTTCTGTTTAAGTGGTTGATGTGTGTTGGACTCTGGAAGTTAGGGAATTTACATGAACAATCAGTAAAGTAACAACTTGCAATTCAAAATTTCATGTTTGTTGGCATGTGATCCGTAGCGGGCCTCAAGGAGAAATTAGTCAATTGACACGAGGATTTAGGGGATTATCCGCGTAGCTCCTGTCTAACGGTTTCATATTTTTGAATCTGTCAAGTTAGGAAATTTACATGGAGAATCAGTAAATTACCCACTAAGTTTGTGGGAATTTGGTGTGCAGTTGCCTCACAGGGAAAATTAGGCAATTGACACCACCAGTGAGCTGGATTTCCACTTAGCTTATGTGTAACTGTTTGATGCGTGCTGGACTGAGAAAGTTAGGAAATTTACCTCAACAATTAGTTAATTAACCACCTCTGCTGCATAATTGCATGTTTGTGGGAATCTGGTTTGCAGCGGCCTCACAGGGAAAATTAGGTGATTGACACGAGCAATTAGGTGAATTTCCACTTAGCTTCTGTTTAAGTGGTTGATGTGTGTTGGACTCTGGAAGTTAGTTAGGAATTTACATGAACAATCAGTAAAGTAACAACTTGCAATTCAAAATTTCATGTTTGTTGGCATGTGATCCGTAGCGGGCCTCACAGGAGAAATTAGTCAATTGACACGAGGATTTAGGGGATTATCCGCGTAGCTCCTGTCTAACGGTTTCATATTTTTGTTGAATCTGTCAAGTTAGGAAATTTACATGGAGAATCAGTAAATTACCCACTAAGTTTGTGGGAATTTGGTGTGCAGTTGCGTCACAGGGAAAATTAGGCAATTGACACCACCAGTGAGCTGGATTTCCACTTAGCTTATGTGTAACTGTTTGATGCGTGCTGGACTGAGAAAGTTAGGAAATTTACCTCAACAATTAGTTAATTAACCACCTCTGCTGCATAATTGCATGTTTGTGGGAATCTGGTTTGCAGCGGCCTCACAGGGAAAATTAGGTGATTGACACGAGCAATTAGGTGAATTCCACTTAGCTTCTGTTTAAGTGGTTGACTCTGGAAGTTAGGAAATTTACATCAATCAATAAAGTAACAACTTGCAGCGGCCTCACAGGGAAAATTAGGCAATTGACATGAGCAATTAGCAGAATTTCGACTGTTCGGTGTAATTGTTTGATCTGTGTTGGAGTGTGAAAGTTAGGAATTGACATGAAAAGTAGTTAATTAACCACCTCTGTTGCATAATTTAATGTTAGTTGGAATCTGATCTTTTGTGGCCTGACAATGAATGTTAGCTAATTTACACGAAGAATGGTGTCATTATCCAGTTAACCTGCATGTAACAATTTGATGTCCTGTCATATGACAAGTTAAGGATTTAACAATAATAATTAGTGTGTATACAATTTCCGGGTTTATGTTACAAGAAATGTTGGATGGTATGAATGTTGCTGTTTAATGTACTAACTAATGACTTTGTGATTATTGGATACAGGAAGAAGATGGGAAAAAAGGACGCACAAGTTACCGGCTGGAAAGTATTCAAGGGAGAATATTGGGAGCAAAAGAAGCAGGAGATGCATGGAAATATGGGAGCAATCACAGATGCGGCTTCAGCAATTTGGAAGGAGATGAGTGATGCTGACAGGGAGCCGTACAGGAAGAAGGAGGAACAGCTAATAGAGGAGAAGAAGAAGAAGGAGAAATATGTGTCCCCATTTTCTACTCGGTGCTCCCCCACAAAATTCAAGGAAGTGGCAAAGTTTATAAATGGCAAAAAAATTTAAAGCGCAAGGTAGAAGAAATGGGGTTTGGTCATCTTCTTGGTATTACTTTGAATAAGCTGCCCAGAGATTTATGTCTGGAGTTGATTCATGCATATGACCCCCCAAGTAAACAAATTACCATAAGGGGGAAGACAAAGAAGGTCACTAGTACAGATGTTAAGAGGGTTCTTGGGTTACCAGATAAGGGCTCCAAAGTGAAGTTGGATGGCTTCAAGGATGAAGTAAATGAGCTGAAGAAGGACTATACTCCACTGACATATTCTCAAATTGCGGAGAAGATAAAGAGTGATGAAGAAGATGGAAACTTTGAATTCTATTTTGTTCTTTTCACAGTGGGCACTCTTCTTTGTCCCACGGGAAGTACAAGTGTGAGTGACAAGGTGCTAAAAGTAATGGCCTGCACAGAAAATAACTGGAAAAAATTTGACCGGGCTTCCTTTGTGCTTGACGAGCTCAGTGAGGAAATTAAACGGTACAATAGGAGCAGTAAGGAAGGACAGACTGAGAGTGCCAGAGTCGTCAGAGGGTGCATCTACTTTTTATTGGTACTTGCATATTTCCTTACAAAATATGCCCTGTTGGATATGCTTTGAACATTAAACTGTTGATGTATTATGTAATTTGATTTTTGAGTCATGTTTTTTCTTTCTCTGTAGTTGTACTTCCTGCAAAGGTTCCCTCTGCAGGGAGGTGAACCAAAAGACAAAGACGCCGTCAGACATTGGGATGATAAGGCTGTGAAGAGGAGAATTGATGCGGAAAAGGAGAGTCGACATGGCATTTTCTACAGTCCACCCGCTGCTGAAGTGAATGAGTCAACACAACCGGGGAGCAGTAGAAGTTTCCATCATCCGGTGAGTAATACCAATGTGATAATGTCTGTTGGTGAGACTTAATATCTGTTTGATGACATACATTTACAATGTGCAGGACATTAAGGAGTTTTGGGTCAATTTCAACAACACATTGAACAATGAGATGGCCAAGATTCAAAACTTAGTTTGTGATGAATTAGTTAAGCTGGAAAACAAACTTCTTAACCGGGGAGGCAATGAAGAAGAAGGAAAAGAACACCACACTGAGGAGGATGAAAATGAGCGGCCACAACATGATGAAGTTATGACTGTAGAGAGCGGAGAAACACATGAAAGTGGTGACAAATCGCATGATGATGAACAGCAAGAAGAAGAAGAAGAAGAGGAAGATGAAGACGAGAACGACAATGTGAGAGAAGATGAAGCTGCAGAAAAGGATACTGAAGATGAACAGGCAGCTCAAACGGAAGAAGGAAACGAAGAAGGGAAAATGGTGGGCAAAGCAGTGCAGCTACCCACAAGGAGGTCAAGTAGACGTAAGTCCCAACAGTTAAATCTCCTTACATGTCTACTTATGGCAGAAAGGTGAAAATGAGTGACAGGGATGCATTTTATACTGTGTGTACTGAGTGGTGTCAACCAGATGAGGCTCAAGAGTAAGTATAGTCAGTTATTATGGAAAAGACAGCCTGTGAATAATACTACTATGCAACACTGACTACTTATTTTCACTTTCATATTTGTTGTAGGGTCATGGTAGATATGTTTGGGCATTTGGCAACACGATCAGACCTACAAGCACTGGGTCCCAGAAGGTGGATAAGCAACAGGGTACGTGCACCTATTCAAGTTACATCAAAGTGGCCATATATGGAATGTGCCACAATTTTAATTTAATTTTCCTGCTCCTTTATTCTACAGATCATGACTCTGATTGCCCACACCTTGAACGCTGACCAACAGGAGAGTGCCTCTGCGGTTAAAAGACACATATTTGATGCAGATTTCACGGTTAGTGCTATCCCCTGTTAATGGATCAATGCTTTAAATTGTGCAATCAAGTTATCGATACAATTTCTTCACTGACAATTTGCATTGTTGTGCAATTTGCTGTTGTGATAGGCAAGGATGGTGCAGCAACACACAGCATGGCAAGTGGACAAACACCTGAAAGAACTACTTCCCCAACACCTGGGATACAATTTGGCTGAATGTGAATACATATTTGCACCTGTTGTGTTTGCACTGCATTGGTTTTGCTTTGTGTTTGAACTGAGCACACTAAAGTTTTATGTGCTGGACTCTCTGCGTGGTGGTGAGGATACAATGAAGCACCAAAAGAAGAAGAATAAGTTTGATCCAGCATTAAAGGGGCAGCAAATGATGGCGCAAACTTTTGTAAGTGGTGTAATTATTCTGCTACTTTTATGGACAACCATAGTATCCCCTGTGTGATAATCATTTATAATTGTGTAGAGGGCACACTTCATTGAAATACTAAGGAGAGTGAAGCCTGAGCTGGAGGGGTTGGCCAACCCAGATTCAAACAATGACATCTTGTATCCCACGGTTCATGTTCAAGACAATACGTGAGTCTTTTGTTCACTGAAAGTTATTTGTCATAAATTATAATCGACATAGATAAGCCAGCATAGTGATGTGTCCATTTTTTCAGTGATGATTGTGGGGTTCATGTCATCACATATCTAAGAGAGTGGCCCAACCCATAAGAGAAGGATGGAGTTCTATTCACCATGCCTTATTATACAGCGGTAGGTGTTGAATTATATATTAATGACATCATGCATTTGTGTCAACTTACTGAGAACAGTTATTGTTGTCCCATAGGATCAATACACATCTATACGGTGTGAGCTGTTGTGGTGGCTCGTGACTCATCAAAGAAACATCAAGTCAGATGCTGTTACCAAACACCTTGACCACATTAACAGACAACGCAATAGAAAGCGATGACTGATCAAATTCCTACCTTGTAGTTTTTGCTGATAAGCACTGTAATTGTTGTTGTGAACACTTTATGCGGACTAAAATGTTGTGCATACAAAAGATGTTAATGAAGACTGTTTTGATAGATTCATATTATCACTACTTGTTTACTTTCATTAGATGTACGGTTGACAACAGAAATTAGGGAATTTGCACCAATAAAACAGGAATTAACACCAAATGTTCGTCCATTTCCAACTGAACAACCTACATCAGGGATTAGACCTTTGCACGAACGATTAGACAATTTGCAAGAGAGACAAATAAGTTAACAACAACAATTAGACCATTCACAAGTGTCGTTCATCAGCTGAACAACATGTCCTCTTAAATATGCAAGTGCCCTCCTTCACCTGAATAAGGTGTCCATTTCCATGAGGAATTAGGGAATTTGCTACTCCGATACATATATTCACAACTGAAATCAGTCCATTTACATGTGCCGTCCTTGACCTGAACAGGGTGCGCATTTGCAAGGGGAACTAGCCAATTTGCACAAGACATACCTATATTCACACGTGGAATCAGTTCGTTCACATGTTGACTGGTCCAGCTGAAGCATGTGTCCGTGAGGGAACAAGTGCGGGAGAGCGCATTTGCAAGGGGAACTAGCCAATTTGCACAAGACATACCTATATTACACGTGGAATCAGTCCGTTCACATGTCGACTGGTGCAGCTGAAACATGTGTCCGTGAGGGAACAAGTGCGGGAGAGCGCATTTGCAAGGGGAACTAGCCTATTTTCAAAATACATACCTATATTCACACGTGGAATCAGTCCGTTTACATTGGCAAGGGGGACTAGCTAATTTGCAAGACACATACTTGGCTTCACATGTGGACTGATTCACCTGATGCATGCGTCTTACTTAAGTGTGGGACAACCCATTTACAAGTGGGACTAGACAATTCGCACCATACATGCATATTTTCACAACTATAAATAATCCATTTGCATCTGACCTACTCGTACTGAAGGAGGTGTCCGTGGGTGAACAGGTGTGCAAGGGCCTATTTGCAAATGAGATTAGACAATTGGCAACATAGGTACATACAGTTACAACTAAAAATAGTCCATTTGCATGTGGACTAATTCACCTGGAGAAGGCGTCCAAGTGTGGTTTCGTATACCATTTGCAAGTGACATTAAACAATTGGCAACACACATACATATATTGACAACTGCAATCAGTCCATTTACATGTGACGACCCTCGCCTGAAGAAGCTGTCCGTCAGTGGACAGGTAGGGGAGAGCCCGTTTGCAAATTGCACAATTCGCAACACACCTACATATATTTACAACTAAAAATAGTCCATTTGCATGTGGACTGATTCACCTGGAGAAGCTGTCCAAGTTTGGTTTCGTATACCATTTGCAAGTGACATTAGACAATTGGCAACATACATATATATATTCACAACTGTAATCAGTCCATTTACATATGACGACCTTCACTGAAGAAGCTGTCCGTCAGTGGACAGGCAGGGGAATCTCCGTTTGCAAGTGACATTACACAATTTGTAACATACATACAAATATTTACAACTAAAAATAGTCCATTCGCATGTGGACAGATTACAGCCTAACATAACCTGCGACAGCTATAGTCACCTACTGTCATGAAATTTTTCAACTATTGACACCACTATACAAAATATAATCGAACCCACCACCAAAAAATCAAAATGGGTTGTCATAGCTACTTCCCCAACAACTCAACAACTACATAGTGGGGCTCATTTATGTACAAAAGTAGCTGTGTGTTGAACCAAAAAAATAAAAGACCATTTTGAGCAACAAAGTCACCCAGGGTTCGGGTTAGTGCAAATCTTTCTAGTGTGACCAGCTTCACCACATCCTGAGCAATGATACGCTTTCTTCTACTGGAATTGTGATTCAATCCTCCTAACTCTGGGTCTTCCAGCACGCCGAGTTGTCAATGGTGGTTGTAGGAAGATGGTGGACGAGTAATCTTCATATCGAAGGGAATCTGGCCTAGGGATGTCATGGGTCTCAACTGGAATCATGAGTCTGCCATAAATTTTCTTTTGGGCTGAGAGTAAAAAGCAATCCTCGACATATGCATATATATTACCATATACCTTCTTGATTGCAGCACATGTATGTGGACAAGGTAGTCCTGACATTTGCCAACCTTTGCAGGTGCATTCACGTAACACAAGATTTACCCGTACATCTAGGTTTCCCCATCTGACCCTGAAATTGTTCATTCCATAATTTTGCACATCCATTCTTTCTGATCTGGCCACATGATCCATCAACTTTTCCTCTATATTAGGTCCCACACCATTGCTCCAATTCCTCATGGCTTCTTTACTGTGATACATCTTGTTTGCTAATTTTTCCCTGTGCTCATGTATCAAGACAGCTATGTTGTGCTTCCTCTCACCAACAAGCCAAGCATTAAAGGATTCAGCTAGATTTGTTGTGATATTATCCCACCTCTTGTAAGGAAATTTGCTTTGTGCCCAACGCTCAATGTCTCCATTTGTTTGAAGCCATTGTCCCAATTCTGGACAAAATGCCATTAGCTTTTCCATACTGCAATCAAAGTCTCTATCAAGTCTTGCGTATGCAATAGAATCAAGTAATTTTAGTGCAACCTCCTTTGTCTATCCGCTGGTCCTCCTCTTTCCCCTGGTTATCTTCAAAAACTCAGCACTGTAATTCTCCTTCACATGACGGTAGCAAAAAGCATGTCGATCTCCTCGAAACACGGCTTGCACTGCACCTTTTATTGAGTTGTGTCTATCCGATACTATTGTCACTTCTAATGATCCCGTAATATCCTTTATGTTACCAAAAACCATGCCCAGTCATCAAGCGTCTCACCTCCAACAATCGCATATGCAAGTGGGAATAATTCATTATCCGCGTCATACGCTTGTGCTCCCAATAACGTTCCTTTGTACGGACCACTCAAGTGGCATCCATCCACATATAATACAGGTCTACCACCTTTCAAAAGCCCTTCTACACAGCAACCGTATGCAATAAATACAGCTTGAAATCTATTATCTGATGATGCAACCCACTTTGCTACCGTTTCTGGATCACTTTCCTTCAGCCTTTCACATATCCAAGGGATTAGCATATAAGACTCCTGCGGACAACCATGAATTTTTGCCAATGCTTTCTCTTTCGCCCTATATGCTTGTTAGTAGTTGAGCCTCAACCCATACTCTCTTTCCAATGTCATTTGGAGCTTTGTGTATGCAAGAAATCAACTCATCTATTATGACTGCTGAAGCAAGTTTGCACCTCTTTCTCTGAGGGACAACTAAGTTGTCTTGTACATAATGCAAGTGTTCATGGTTAAATCTTCTCACAACTAGGAATCCATTATTCTCACCTACACCATATGCTGAAATTTCCCAGGGACAACCATCTACACAGCACTTCACAATCATCTTATGCCTATCATTGTTTACGTACCAGTAACCAAACTTATGTGCAAGGCTATACTTATATAATGCCTCTCTAAAATGTTCAGCACTAACAAAGGTTTGTCCTCTTGACATCAACAAATCTGCCCACTTTGATGAATTCATCACCGCTATTGGGGTTGGCAACGTTTCCATACCTACACTTCCTATCAGTGTTGGCACATCTTGTACGGAAGATATGTTTATGTTGTCTGTGTCTAGATCCAATTCAATTGCAGATACTGACATTCCACAAGGGCCAACCAAATCATCTAACCTGCATAAACAAATACAGCTATTGAGTATTACAGTTCAATTTATCAAAATTGGACATATTCTTTCTTATCCTACACACAATCTTAATAAAACCAGTTGAGAACAACTTACTCTTGTACACTGTCCAGCTGTGACACTTGTGTGAAGTCTTTCTCATTCTCACATAAACATGGCCACTACTATTGTTGTACTCAATTACTTGTCCAACACCAATATCGTCAACAAGATCCAAGAATGTGTCCCGGTCAAAGCTAACTGTGTACTTCATTTTATATTCACAAGTCCCTGGCCACACATCATGAGCTACCATGCATTGTAGTTCTTCATATGTCATCCCTTCTCTAATCAATCTTCCAGTAATGATGCCCCTTCATAAATGAATTTCCCTTCTGAGGTCTTTACAAAGTGCCTTCTAACATGAAAGATGCAAAATACTTATTTCCTACTACTGCTAGCCATTTATCCTCTGCTGCTGCACATCATTCAAGTATGACACAATGTACGTTTACATCAGCAATTTGACAATTGACAACAAGAATTAGTATTTTCACAGCATTATATTGCTTTTTCTCGCACACAACCAGAATTACCAAATTTACCATCGTACTATGTATTTTCACCATTCCTCTGCGCGTCTACCTGTCATATAACCCATTCCAGCCCACACACCCATTTCCCTTTCTTTTTCGCCTACCTATGTTCCTTCAGCAGTGCATTATTCTCAATATGCACCCACTTTTCAAAACATTACAAACACCACATCTTTAACAACTTAAAACAGCATCAGCATGAATTTCTTAAACCATAAAACCGTAAGATTTGCAACTCACTCCCAACCTACATGCCCATGCACTTAAATACTCATTTCTTCCTCATTCACCCATCACAACCCACCTGTGCTAACCGAATCACACCAACAAAACCAAAATTTTAACAACAAAATCTTACCTCCCACGCCAACCTGACGCTACTTCCAAAGAACACGCAACACTGTAGGGCACACTTGCGACTTCTCTCTCTTGCACCAACTCTAGCTTGGAGTCCGAAAGACGGCGGAGGGACGGACCGCAAAAGTGAAGCTCCGCCACTGTGCTTTCTCAGCTCATGGTTGTCAGCTATCTCCCTTCCGCACCGACGCGCTGCATGGGAGAGGCAGGAAATAACGCCATCTCCCCCCTTTCCGTCTTTCTTCCGTCTTTTACACCCGCTGATAATATGTCTCATTTTCGGAGGAAATAAGTTTTGATTAGGGGCAGTGGCGTCATTTCGTTTGTGGAATTAATATTAGATTGGCCCCTTGGTCCTGCAGTGAGGTTTCAGAAAGTTTTGGGGGCTCTTTGAGATTAATTGTCTTCTGCGGTCCTACAGTGAAATTTTCCCTACATTAAATGCTTCTGCCCTGACCGTTACCTTTAGTGACTAATAACTAGATCTTGTGTTTATCATTTTTATCTATATATAAGAGTTACATTTAAGTCTGCAACAAAAATCTTGATAACATTAAGTGCAAAGACTCTATTGATTTTGCGAATCACTCATTTTTTGAGCTAACTACTCATTAGTCATTGAGCTCCATTGTACACATCCAATCTATGAGCGATTATATTCTGTTGATCAATTTATACTCTCTCAAGAGTGTTGCTCAAGATCAGCTGATAATCTTGAGAGAATTCAACTGTTCTGGGAAGGGAGTGTGATTACTTACTTTAGGGAAGAGGTCATGGGGATTGTGGTGGCTTCATAGGTATTGTTGTTGGACCAAGATAAATCACTGAGTTTGCATTCTCTTATCCCTTCACTCATTATGCTTTGCATTTGTGTTTTAATTAATTATATTTTCAACTACTGCTGTTTATTCATCGACTCCTGTTTGCATAAATTTTTGAGATCTCAGTTCACTCCACGCTTGAGTTTGCCAACCAAAAGCTAATGACAGACAGCGCCCCAAACATACTGTTAAGATCTGCTCTGTGGTAATTTAATTAAAGCCACTAACAGTAATTTCTTAACTGAAATTATGACATTTATTTTGAAGCATAAGTGAAAGAGAGAAAGCTCTGTGAAATCTACCAAAACTTTTCTTCTTGTTGTTTTTCCCCCCTTTTTCTCACGTATCCTTCTATATATGGAGAGAATTCTCTCTTGTTGATGTGCTTCAATTATTTTTTTGACGAAGACCTACTCTCTCTATTGATTAAAAAACTAAAATTACTAAAAATATTTGGGGACAGACCCAAGGATAACATAGCAAAAAGACACGAGGTTTTGGGGGGGGACATTTCGCCGATTAAAATAAATGGATCATATTGGTTAATTTTAAATACGTATCTAATTGACTAGCCCATTTTTGTTTTGCTGGGAAAAAAAAAAAAGATCACTTCAGCACCCATTTCCCCAAGTCATTAAATGGATTACTGCCACCAGGAACCTAGGCACTAATTAGTTTTTCTCTTTTTTTAAAAAATAATCACTAATTACTTTACTATAGGGATGGATTACTTTTTTTTAAAAAAAGATAGTATCTCTAACTAGTCAAAAAAGTTCCACTGATTAATCAAATTCGTTTGACTAATACTCATTAGATAAGATTCATTTTGTACTGTAATTATATTATAAGATGTGTCTTATATTTAAAATTAGAAAGGTAATTTTTATTAAGTTGGCAAAAAACTTATTTTTATCAGGAATGATTTTAAAATTAATTAGTAAAAATATTAGTCATCCGATCTTTAATATACAACTCAATTGTTGAGTTGATTTTAGTCATAACATAAAATCTATTTCTCATATTTATTAATTTTTTTTAAATTACTCTATGGATCTCTAGAAAAGAGAGAATGATATTAACAAAGATTATTATAGTATTTTGGAAAAAATATGTCATATTTCTTATAATTAATTAACTTACCTAACTTTTTAATATAATTAAATTAGTTAAATAGATCTTATATTAAAAACTAAAAAAGTATTTCGGTCCTGAGCTGGGAAAAAAAAACAGAAATTACGGAAGTTGTACGAAGCATAGGACAAGGGAAGCACCCCACTCTCGAGCAAGCAATAAAAAGTAAAAAATCGTTTTTCAGTTTGATGGACCTGTCTCCCCCCAAATTCCCGAACATGCAATCTCCATCTCTTCACCTCACCACCGCAATTCACCACTGTGACCACCACCTTCTTGGATTCCATCGCACTGTCTCCTCCACCCGCAACCTATTTTCCCCCCACTCTTCCTCATCTTGTTGCCTTCCAAGCCCTGGTTCTCGAACGCTTGTCGCTCGGGCCCAGAAACCCCATCACAACTCTGGTCCCAAAGAGAGGCTGCGAATAACCAGCAAGAAGGACAATGTCTGGAGTATTGACAACGACCTCGCGAATGCCGCGGCGGAGAAAGAGAGGGCGAGAGCTTATCGGAGGAAGCACAAGGGAAGGAAGATGGTGAAGAGGAAGAAGCGAGGTAGGGGTGGTAGAGTCTTGGTCTCCGGGGCTATGTTGACGGAGGTTGAAACAGTTCTTCAGACTCAGGTATGGACAAGTAGGTTCAATTTTGGAAAATATATGGAAAAGGAGGATGTATTTTAGTGAGTGGACAAAGCGAGGATTTGCATGCTAAGATGTTGTTATAAAAATATAGCTACGAAGAAAGCAATAAGAATAATGCTTGATATCCTCGACAAGCCTATATAAAGTTTGGAATTTTATTTGTTTCCTTATAAATGAGAATTCCTGGGATGGAAGGAGGAAGAAACCTGCCATTTATATTCTTTGACACTCTTAAGTACTCTAGTGAAAGGCGAAAAAATAGTGAGTGCTATCTTCGATGTGCCTTGTTTCCACCTTTGTTCTGCTGAATGATTTTGGACATTCAAATGACCGACGACTGATGTAATGCTAAGTGAAAAACATAACTAAGAATACCTTAAAATTCTTTTATTTCTGGAAAAAATTCAAATAAGGCATTCCCATTATTTGGATGAACATTTTGGGCCCAACCCTCCATAAAACAATTTGTTTACTATATTTGTTACTCAATGTCTGTATTAACTGTAGAATGTTAATACTTTATATTGCTATGTGGGAGTGGAAGGTGACCAAAATGACTCTTTCAGGAACCTGTAATAAAACCAGTTTGGAATACATTTGCTAGCAGTGTCAGTGGGATTTGGAAGGGTGTGGGTGCGGTATTTTCTCCTCTTACTGCTGAAATGGAGCCAGTTGAAATAGGTAAAAGGAATGAAAACCTGTATGACTGTTATACTCTTTCCCGCATTGAGGCAGTGCCATCATCTTCTGGTAGACCGACATCTCAGATTCAGAGAAAAATCAATTGGGTGACTTTGAACCCTTTTGGTGAAACACTGCAGCATAGGGAAGGCAATGACATAGCTAAAGAAGGATCTGGAGATGATGGTGCCCCTGTACTTGCAAGGGAGAACATCAGTGACAATGCAACAAGCACTGTGTTGCCTACTTTTGAGTCCTTTGACTTTGAAAGAAGTGATGTGATGGAAGAAGATGTTATGGAATGTGAACCAGGCCTTGTTTACTTTGAAGTAAGCTGCTCCTTTTACATGCTTGCATTGATTTCTTTGTAGACATCGTTATTTTGCATGGCCAGGACACATGATCATATTATTGTGTTGTTGTTATGTTTTACTGACTTCCGTTCAGCATGGGATGTGTGACCTATGTTTATTAATAATACTTACATGAAAAGATTATTTTTTATGGTTCTGTGAACTGAAAACCTGTCTAACTATTTTCACAAAACTTCCTGAATTTTCTGTCATAGTAATCGAAACGTGTTTATTCTCAACTCCTTTATGTTTATGTGCCTTTTTTTGCCCCTTTTCTGTTTGATCCCTCCTATCCTTATCGTTTGATGTTGGAATTGATGGAGAAGAGCGCTAAACTCTTGTATAATGTTAAGATATGCCAAAAAGTATTCATTTCTATAACTTTAAAATAATGTCCTAGCTGGAAAAACAAGGATGCTTAGAGTTGTTCATGTAGTTAGGATCAAAACATGACATAATAATCACATCAGAGTTCAAATGTTATCCAGTAGCATTGCTCGCATTCTTCAATGGGGTCCATCATTTAGTCCTGTGAATCATGTTGTTTGGTATACACAGTTTAATATAAAATCGAATGAATACGGTCACCTCAAATGGTATCCAATAGCATTGCTCACATTCTTTGATATATGCTTAAATAAATTAACCGTTTTGAACTATCTATCTTTTTGCTATGAATCTTTCAAGCGGAAAATTCGGATTCTGTGATTAACTCACTTTTTATCCTGTTTAGCTGTCTTACTCTCATAGAAATCATCATTTCTTATGAAGTAGACTTATTATTTTTAATTTTAAGCTCTCAAAAAGTCTTATTATATTGAGAAAATGTATTAAAAGTTTAGGATAAATGAGGATAAATTACCATCCCCCTGTGATACTCAAATTACATAGTCATTTTTTCTATTATGAAATATATACAAATCTCGTTGAAGCCACTACATAATTCTAATATCTTGATGAACAATATTTTTGTTTTTTGGGTTTAAATTGAAGGTATAACTTATTTGAAATTTTCTGTTTTTCAGCTTGTATTTTGATGTTATGTTTTTCTGGAGTTGAAAACCATAAATTTAATTTATTCAAAATGTTGTTTACATAATTATTATGTTGATCTAGCACATGTATGGTGCTTATTATATAGAGAATAGGCATAATTATAGCTTGTATTTTGTTGGAAGGTTGGTCGATGTAGTGCATCTTTAAATACAAGGGAGATTGTACTTTAAATCAGTATCACATAAATTGGGCATCTTTCCAGAGAAGGGAGTGTAATTTATCCGAACTTTTAGCATCAAATGGATCTTATGATCAGCAACCATGTAATTTGAACGTCTTTCCAGGGAGCAGCGTGTAATTTACCCTAAATCTTAATATCAAAGGGATCATGTGATATGCGAAACATTACTATCTACGTAATCATTGTAAATATAACACCACTTCTGTTCACACAATCATTCTGTTAATGATTATGGCTATCAAATTGCAGGATGGATCTTACTCCAGGGGTCCTGTAGATATCCCTTTGGGTGAAATTGATGATGCAGATTATTATATCACTCCTACTTACAAGTTCGAACAAGTAAGCTCGGCATCTTACTTCTTGTGTCCGTTTTGACTTGCCTAGATCATGAATTAGGAATTAGTTTAGCAGCTTCAGTCATATGGATTCATCATGGGTCGAATAAATATGGATTAAGTTGTATAGACAAAATGAAAAAATGAATAGATTTCTCAGTTCTGCTTAATCAATAAGAGATTTAAACTGTTTTTATTGATGAGACATTGTACTCGTGCATGTTACTTCTGCTTAGTCAATAAAGAATGCATCTGTTTTTGTTGACAACAATGCTTGCTTGTTTTTTGTGTCTACAATTCTGTGAAATTAATACATAATTAATTCGTTAATCACCGAACATTTTTAGCAATTTATCTTGTTGATTGTTCCAGAACTGGAAATATTTTCCTGGAATTCCTGCGTTATAATGATGACCATTTGTATATTAGGCGTATCTCTTCATGTTAAGTGTCTTCTTTAAGTGTACTTTTTAGTTGTGACTTTGATTATGAAAATTTATGGTTAACTATAGATGTGTGTTGTGGTGGCTGAAGTTTCAGATGATAGCAATATGTTAACAGAAGTAATCAGCACTGCTTTTACTGACAAATTTGTTAAAGATTAAACTTCTGCTTATTTTCACACCTTTGTTATAATATTTTTAAGAACTTTTTAAACATGACTGGTGGATGTTTTTATTATTTAAACATCACATGATTGGATCTCTTAAATTTTTTTTTGTCATATTATGTTGGTCTAGTGCAATTGTTATTATGATCTGGTATTTGTCCTACAGGGGATATCAAATATGCAGTAATTCCTTGAGCAGTAATGTTTTCAGACCATATGACATTTTTGTTCCTTATCTTTCCCCGTCCAATTATTCTTTGGTAGCTTCATTAGTCGTCACAAGTTTTGAAGTTCCTTCTCATGTTGGTAGGTTGATAGCCTCATTGAATGTAAATATAAAGCTCTTGCTACTGATAAGTGTTGGAGTTAGATTGAAATCATTGTGTTTCATTATTTGGACTTTCTCTTTTCCTATTAGTATTATTATTATTTGAAATCTGGAAAATTATATTGCAAACAGGAAAAAGATTTTCTTAATCTCACACGAACTTTTCATATATAGTGCTTGGTTAAAGGCTGCCACAAAAGGATTCGTATTGTCCATACCATAGAATTCATAGATGGCGGTTCAGACATACAGATAATGAGGGTTGCCGTTTATGAAGAAGAATGGGCTAGTCCTGCCAATATCAAAGACCCTAGGTACAATTTGCTTTATTTTCGTTTTAAAGAAGTCTGCATTTGTTCCTGCGAAACACTTTTATCTGAAAGATATGAACATGACGCTAGCTATGGGTAAGAATTCCACAAAATTCAAATTTCCATTCAAAATCGGATGAAATACAAAAGAAGCGTACGTTATATCTTGATTCTTGAATGCTTGTTTGTTCTTGTAATTTCTTTCTGCCACCTATTGCTGCGTCAAATTCTGTACTTTGATCTGTTTGATTTGCAGAATGTAACAGAGAATAGAATTAACACATGATCTTGTGACTGAAAAATGTCTTTTATCTGCCTGGGGATATTAAAATAAAATAAAAACATGGTATATATTTATTTTTGTGAAATAAAAAGAAAATACTTTTTTTGTAAACCAAGCCCAGACCTTTTTGGCCCTTCCTACTGTTATTCTCCCTTGAGTGTTAGGCAATCACTAACGCTAGCACCATCGTGAACAGTGATCTGGAGTTCGATGTAAAGCCATTATCCCAAAGAAAACGAACCAGGCCATCGGAGCTGATAGGGTCTTGGAAAGTCTTCGAGGTCAGTGCAACTCCGGTGTTTGGGGATGACAATATGATGGAAGCCGGCAGCAGCAACGGTACCCCATATGTATACCTTTGTACAGAGACTCTGAAGAAGAGGAGCTTCCCAGGGAGTACCAACTCTTTTGGAGAAGAAGAGATGCTGGATATGCAGGATGTAACCATGCTTTGGCTTCCTGGGGGCGTAACATGCTATGTGGATATCAGTAAGGATGGTATTCTTTGTATTGGAGTTGGATGGTACTCTGATGAAGGAATAAACCTGGTGATGGAGAGAGATTATGGGGTGGATGGAAAACTTAAAGAAGTGCGATGGAAGTCAGAGGTAAAGAGAAGATGGTCTAATCCACCACCTGTATAGATTCTCTTGAAATTTTGTTTTACCGAGGATTACTGACTTGTAAAGTATTTAAATTAAGGAATATTCAAATGTTGTATTGTCCCAGTAAACAATTAAGTGCTTACTTGGAGCTGTTTATTACGCAAGTCAAGAGAACTTTTCTCACGTATATTGTACATGGTGATTGAAAAGTTGTTTTTAAAGGTCCAATTGTCATTATAAACAACTCGTAAAAGTACACTTTAAAGTTGAGTTTTAGGAGCTCTCTCTTGGTATTTTCTATTTTTCTTCCCAATTTGACTAAGATTTATGCTATTTTCTTAAGGGAAAACCATATTGGAGGTACCTATACTTTCTCTCAATTTTTAATTTGGTACCTATGTGTTTTTTGTTCTTAACTAAATCTTTATTTTTCCTCTATTAACATCATTAATCTTTATGTAGAGACTAAAAATATCAATAGAACAAAGTTATAAGAGCTAATGTTGCTAAAAAGATAAAATTAAATGTTTAATTAAAGGGAAAAAACACATAGGTACCAAATTAAAAATTGAAAGAAAGTATAGGTACCTTCAATATGGTTTTCCCTTTTCTTAATAGCACTTAATATCTTAAACTATTTTTTGGTGCAATTTTGTTCATGAAATTGTAGGGGCTAGTTAGTTTGGGGTGCTAAATGTCATTGAGATTATTTCATGATTTATAAGTTATGTTGTTAAATGTTCAATGTAAATAATTAAAATGAGCACTATTATAGGAAACTCTATATATTTTTTATATATAACTAGCTCACCTGATTTTTAAAATTTAGTTATTTTTAATATAAGAACAGAATTATATTAAGTAAAATGAGAGTTTACATGATTTAAATTACATAACAACAAAGGAAAGAGGACAAGTGCAAAACTGAAATAAAAATAGTACAAATCAGAAGGTGGATCGGTCCTAAGTTTATTTTAGTTAAAATCAGTCCTAAGTTGAAATTGTTGGCAAAAGGCCAGAAACATTCTTGTCAATAGTAGCTTAGAGAACTCTTTCAGGCTCTTTTGGCTCAGCACAGGGAGGAAAGGAAAAGAATTTTAATATTACTTCAATTGAATTGATTGGAGAATGGTGAAGGGGAGAGGTTTTAATGTTAATTAGCTTGATTCAAGAGGAGAGGAGAGGGAAAATATTTTTATAAAGACATTTGTCCTTGTTCTATTTATTTTTTGAAATTAGGAAAATTAATCTTAATCTTTCCATTTTTAATTTACTTATAATCCAATCTTATGACTCGGTGCAACTTACTATGTAAACTTTTGACTTATTTAAACACAATACTTAACCTTTTCACATTTAATAATTTAATCCTTATTATACATAATTTTGTTGAGTCATCAATCAATTATCTTATGTGGCAAAAAATATTACTTAACACCATTAAAAATTGCATCCAACTCAGTTCATATGTGCATTTGATTAAAAAAAATTAGAGGAAAAAAAATAGCATAAGGATTTAGTAGCATCTCCCTCCTTTGCTTCTTCATTTTTACCGTCCCCAAGAAAACACTGTATTAGTTTGATTTATTAGGTGAAAAGCCAAGCATTGAAACCAAAAGCATCTTTAATTTGAAACGTAGCAAGTTTTAGTGTGTGAATTTACTTGTTATGAATTTAGTTATATATCTGATTTCTTTGCACATTTGACGAATAGGACAACTACAGCATAATTACTATGATGATGGATGTAAAATTGAAACCCTTAAAAAAGGGATAAATCCAACATGGATTAAAAGTAGTTTGAACTAAAGATTCTTTCATATATTCTTTCTTCAAATTTGTTTTTGCTCACTTTTGGTTTTATTATATTATATTACCTCCGATCATTAATACTCTTCTAATCCTAAATATAAGATATATTTTATAATGTAAATTATACTATAAAATGGGTTTTATATTTAGTATCAGATGCCCATAAGATTTTATGTTAAGGACCCAAAGTAATATCTTTTTATTTTAATATTGTTGTCAACCTGAGAAGATATGGTGCAAGTATTATGTCATTTGCTACGTGCATAATTGTTCCAAGGGCAAGTATTGAGAAATTTCACGAAATAACTAGATATGCAAGATAATGATTTTATCATGGTTGTTGAGTATTTTGAATATGATTATTGCTTATTAATTGTTTGATTTCACTTTGCAGATATTTAATAACTAAGAACCACACCGAAGCAAGGAGATTGATGAGATTTGAGATAATTTGTCACAATACATGCTTCAAACGCTTTGGTGAAACAAAACTAGATTTAAATCACTTGGACAATTTGTATATTTTTTATGTTACTTATTTGTGTCAATTGATGTAGATGAACTTTTGTACGTCATTTTTTAATAGTGAACCCTCAAATAAATCTCATTTAAATTCTCTTCTAATTAACCCCCCTAACCTTTCATTTTTCTACAAAATATTTTAAACAATTTTTAATTTTTAAAGTTAATTATAAGAGTAATAATTCTGAAAAATTACAAAAATATTTTGAACTTGACTAATTTCAACTAATTATCTTAATTTATATTCGTCCGATCATAAATATAAGACATATTTTATAATGTAATTTATAGTATAAAATAGATTTAGGGTTCAGGACCAAAGGAGTATAAAGTAGTTAATTTATTCTTATAATACGAAATAGAAAGAGTAGTTTGTTAAACTCTAATTAAGCCTAATTTCACCCTCCTTAGGCTTAAGTATAAACTCGATATACTATCAATACTAAATATGAACATGTTTTTTAATAAAAATTTGAATATTAGTTCATCGTGTCATGAAGTAGACCTGATGTTGTTGATCACCTAAGTGCTTTTTAATTGTTTTAATGTATGAAATGATTATGAGGGTATGCTTATACTATACATAATGTAAGCCACAAACATGATAATATCATAATGTATTGGCTTAGATTATATGGTAGTCATGTTTTATAGGATGTGTCGTTAAACGGATCCGTAAAGAAATTAAACCCTTATAACAAAAAATGATCAAATCAAAATTTGGACGGAAGTCAAATTATATTTACAATATATTATTACCTTTTTCACAACAAATACCTTAAAAGCGGAGCGAAAATTCTTTGTATATGTTTTGGCCAGCGCCAAACTTGTTTAAGTTTATTGAAATACCATTCATAAAGAAAATGTTCATTTTGGGAAAATTAATCATAGATCTTAAATAAAAAAAATTAAATACAAAAAAAAGTCCTATAATAAATTCACTTTTTTCAAACTTTAAAATTTTAAATTTTAAATAACATAATTTAATTTGTAAAATAAAATTTTAACTAGTAAATATAAATTATTAAATTTAATTTATAAATATGTAAGTTTAACTTATAAATTAATATAAACTTTGAGCACACTTTTATGTTTTTTTTTTACTTATATAAAACCTACGTAAAATATTTCCTTTCGTTTCGGAGAAATTGTGAATTCAATGTATAATAATTATGTATTCACTTTAGAATAATTGGCAGAAGTTAAGGACAAACTAAGCCATACCCATTTTCCAAAAGTCAAAACCTTCACTCTCTACTGGGCCTATAAATACTTCTTCACTGTACTGACATCTCTCTTCACAGACAGAGAGCAATCAGAACGAAATAACTTCAGAACAGATTAGTTTCACTAAGAGGTTCCAAACTGTCGAAATGGCTGTCGGAGGCTTCGCCGTTGATGCTCCGTCCAACGCCGCCGGCGACGGCAGGATAACTCTCTCCGTCGTCATCACCTGCATCGTTGCCGCATCTAGTGGTCTCATTTTTGGATACGACATCGGAATTTCAGGTTTCTTTCTTTGCTTAGCTTCTTAGTTCTCTCTTCCTCTTTCTGATTCATTAATATCTCTTACGGCTTCCTATTCCTATTGCTTGATCTGCTTCTTCTTCAATATCTTCTACAGCACACTGCACAAAAAAAAAAAAAAAAGTAAGAGCTGATCTATTGCGGTCACTATATTTTAATTAATTAATTATTAGCTTGATATATGTACGTCTATTGATTTCTCTGCATTTTAAACAATTTCTAAATTGCTGTAGCAAATTATTACTTCTTCATGTATTTGTTATAAACATCTGTTGACAACTTCACATAAATTAGTAGTAGTTAAAATTTGTTGTTTCTTGTAAAATATCAAAATTGCTCTTAACAAAAGTAAATAGTTAGCCAACAAAGATTAGTTCACTTGCTGAGAAATTGACTCATAATTCACAAAATTGTAAGTTCAAATTCTATAATCGACATGAGGATCTTATTGACGAGTAAATATTTTTGTAATTCTCTAGCTCTAATGAGCTCCTGAAACTTAGATCACCTAAATTTTTTTGTGTATGTATATATATAAACAATCTCTAATTAGATGAAGTTAATTAATTAATTAGTCAAGAAGTATTATAGTTACTTAGGAATGCTAAGCGACAAAAAAAAATTGATGTTTTAGTATCATATCTAGTTCTTGTAATTTGATCTTATTTTGATTTTCATAAAAAATTTTGGTCCATATGCATAAAGATTTTTGGTCTCTGAAACAACAACTAAAATCAAAATGAGATCAAATTTTATAGATCAAAATCATTGGTTTTAAATTTTAGAGACCAAAATTACTAATTTCAAATCTCGAGAATTTAAACTAAGATGATATCAAATTTTATAGATTAAAAATGATTTTAACCCTATTATAAAACATATTAGAGGCTCTTATAATAAGCACAAAAAAGAGTAAATATTTTATGATAGACTTAATGTACTTTTCATTACATTTAAGACATATACATGGTCGATATTAAACGTTATATTATATGATAGCTAGACTTAAAAGAGTGACCTTCGTGGCCTCATGAGATGACATAGACGCTTATTCTATATTGAATGAATGTTGTTAGATTAACTTTATATAGACCTTCTTTTTTTTCCTGTCGAACTTTTTAGGCATTATTTATGGCTATATAAAGAGATATATTTATTATATTAAAGGTATCAAGATACACAGTCGATATGATATGTTACCAAACATAAAGGAACATCATGAGTATCATACAATCATAATTGATTAGATTTATTTAGTTGGTCAATAAATATTTATGATTATACCACAACTTTAGTTCATGCACATTCACAAATACTTGGCGTTGGTGAAGTATTAATTAGTCTAATTTAAGTAATGGAATTTATATTTTGAAACATTTCATGGGTATTATATTTTTTGCAAGCATTTCATGGATATTATAAACTTTTAATGGCGGCTATGTCTCTTGCCAGCCCCAAAAAATGCTACCTCTGCTCCTTAATAGGTAGTATACGGACCATGTCTCTTCATCTGGTTAATAAGGCTATAAATTACATCTACGAGAAACTTCTCGCAATATTTTTTATATTAACTATGCCGTTTGATCATGAAAACCAGTTTATTAAAGAACTTTAACATTTATTAGATCTTGATTTTTAAAAATTGGTAGTAAAAAAAATTTCCCCAAATTTTTTTAAAAAAATTTATTAATTAATATTATACATAACAAAAATTAAATTCAGAAAATAATGTAACGTAGTAATATTTTAAAAGTAAACCTTTGTGTTTAAAATGATACTCCTCCGATCCTTAATATAGGACTCAATTCTTGAGTTGGTTTTGGTCCTAAATATAAGACCTATTTCTCATATTTATCATTTTTCTCTAAATTACCCTTATGGATACTCCCTCAACCATAATCAAGTAGAAAAGGGAGAGAGAATATTAAAAAAGATGATTATGATATTTTAGGAAAAATGTGTCACTTTTCTTATAATTAACTAACTTACATAACTTCCTTAATCTAATCAAATTAGTTAAATGGGTCTTATATTAAGAACCGGAAGAGTAGTTTAGTTTTGTCTGTTCTGCCTGCATCTGCCGGAGTTGGTCCGCCAACTTGACGGGTGCAAACCAAACTTTCAACGGCGAAAGTTTGTTGTGAGGTGTGACGCAAGGGGAAGATAAACGTAATTATAACTCATTTTTAGTGGCTTACACGTGGTCATGGGCAAGGACGGGCATGTGGGGATCACCTGCGCACTTTGAAATTTATATTTTATATGGTAATCAGTAATCACATCATATATATATATATATATATATATATATATATAAGGGAAAACCATATTGAAGGTACCTATACTTTCTCTCAATTTTTAATTTGGTACCTATGTGTTTTTTCCCCTTTAATTAAACATTTAATTTTATCTTTTTAGCAACATTAGCTCTTATAACTTTGTTCTATTGATATTTTTAGTCTCTACATAAGGATTAATGATATTAATAGAGGAAAAATAAAGATTTAGTTAAGAACAAAAAACACATAGGTACCAAATTGAAAATTAAAAAAAAGTATAGGTACCTCCAATATGGTTTTCCCTATATATAACATACTCCTCCATCTTTAATATAATACATATTTAACTAATTTGATTAGATTAAAAAATTTAGTTAAATTAGTTAATTATAAGAAATATGACATGTTTTTCTTAAAGCATAATAATCATCTTTCTTAATATCCTCCCTTTCTTACTTATTTGATTATGGTTGAGGGAGTATATATAGGGATAATTAAAAAAATTTGATAAATATAAAAAATATGTCTTATATTTAAGACCAACCCTATATTAAAGACTGGAGGAATGTTTATTATAACACTAAACGACTAAATTATAAATATTGTTAATTTGAAGTTTTATATTAGAGCTGTGCGTGGAGTAGGTTAGACTGAGTTAATCATGAACCGGAGATCTAAAAAATCTTGGGCTACATAAGTCAGCCTGTGATCTGGTTTAGTTTAATACCAATTTAAGATTAGAGTGAACCAAACTACTACTACTACCTTTTATTATTAATATAAGATCTCGTTTGAATTTTATTTTAGTCCTAATTATAAGATTCCAATTCACTTTTTCTCTCATATTTATGTATTTTTTTCCAAAATAATCCTTCTAATAATGCTAGTTTTATCCAATAAACTTGTTTAGTAAGTATATTTTTTGAAAGACAACACATATTTATTATAAATAACTAATTAAACTTATTTTTTTAATCTCCTCAAATCAGTCAACTAGTTTTTATAATTAGGACCGAAGGTAGTATTAGATTGCCTGGATAGGTTTGGAGAGTGCAAGAGTTCATTTTGCTTTTTTTTTTTTAAGCATCTTTTTTTCTTTTTAAGTGAGGCAAGTTATATCAACCCAATAAACACAACGAAGACAATAATAATGACCTATAATTTTACAAAACTCATTCAAAAACGTTGAAACTTAATCATAAAATCAAAAGAATTTCTAACAACATCCAGCAACAATAAAACCTTTAACTATATTTTTAAAATAAAAACTAGGTCAGAAAAAATCAAGTGGTCTGATCACTTGGTCTAGAATCTAGTCTAGCCTGACTAGCTAATCTAACATGGTATGATTCAATTTCATTATTGGACTTAGTTTAATTGAATTGTAGGTCGATCAGGTTGGATTGAACTACTTAATTTTTACACACTTGTATTTTATACAAACAATAATACCCAGGCTAATTTCACTTGCAAAACCATTTTGATGACTTGCATTGTTCTCCATATGTGTATTATTCAAAGAATATAAGAAGAATGACATTACGGAGAATCTAATAATAAAAAGAAGTTTTAAAAAAATTTGAAAAGAACCTCAAAATTATGCCCCAGACCACTTAAATCACAATGTCTTATAATTTTATACAAGGAGAATTATGAGTTTCCAAGAAAATAATAATAATTATTAGTAAGTCTCAATAATAAGTGAGTAGTTATTATTTCATATTATGAAATTTATTCTGGTAAAAAAATATTATGAAATTTGTCACTACGAATTGTTTTATTGTTGTTGAAATTTTTAGTAATTATATTTTTTTAGGGACTTCATAATAATTCTCTCTTATAAATTACACAACCCTATACATATAATGGCTTTCATTTCTCCAGTTTACTGGTGATGAAGCATTAAAATATTACGGAATATATTATGTCAAAAGTTGTCTTATTGTAATTGATCAAAAAAAAAAAAAAACAGGGTTGTCTTGTTGTAGGACCCACTCAAATCACGTTAAAAATAAAATAAAATAACCTGCCATATTTTCTTTCTTCTTTTTTTTTTACAGTATACCTTATCCATTCTCATAGGATTTTTCTCGTCAAAAGTTTTCTATGTTTCTAGAAAATATTGGACTTTGCATCCCCCATCTCCATGATTGACACTGCAAAATTATAGGAAAACAAGGTTGTAACTAACTAAAAGACCTATATATATAATTAAATATATAATCATTAATTATATTAATGTACTATATCATGTGTTTAATATAAGAACTAGTTAACTAATTTAAATATATTAAAAAAATTAGTTAAGTTAGTTATTTGTAATAAATATATGTTGTCTTTTCTAAAATATCCTTCCTAATCAAGTGTATTGACTAAAACTGTTATTATTAAAAAGATTATGTTAAAAAATAGATAAATATGAGAGCCAAAATAAATTAGAATTTTATATTTATAACCAAAATAAAAGTCAAACGAGCTCTTATATTAAAAACTGAAGATAGTACTTAAATGAAAATTACCTTAAACCGTACTCACTATAAATAAGTCATATAATATCATAATTTCTTCAGTTATAAACATTTAATTATTTTCCCTCCTCTAGGGACATTCAATGAATTGGAATTATATAATTTTTCTTCATTACTTTCTCTTTCTTTTTTCCTATATAATACTAAACCAAATATAAAGGATAACCAACAATGGATCAATTGGTCGAATCTTATCATTGCCTTCCGAAACCTTGCATCATTAATATAACAATCCTAAACCATATCAAATGCAAAGTAAACATTAAATTATAATGCCATAGAAAGTATTTATAGGGGCCATCTAATTTTTTTGATATCGGATTTCACACTACCAGATAAAAGTCTTTACTTTCTTCTATAGTTGTCACAATTCACAAGCCTTAATGTGCATAAACAACTCCTACCTCTAGTTCTAAATATAAAAATTAATTTATTAATTTATAAAAATTTAAAAAATTAAGTTAGTTATTTGTTAAAAATATATATTGATTTTCTTAAAATACTCCTATAGTTATTGGCACTGAAAATTAACTATGATGAATTCATCTTGATTTTGTAAGGAGAGTTTGAGAAAAAAATTATAAATTTGAAAAATATAATGTATTAGAGTCTTATATTTAGAACAAAAAAAAAACCCTATATACTGGCTTTTATGCTTTTTTTTAATTACATCTAGCACTTTAATCCTTTTAATTAGTACAGTAAGAAAAAAAGTTAAATTTAATACATATATATGTCGTACTCCGGGAAAGTATGCTAAATTATTTCATCATGCTAACTCAGATTTTTCTTCCATTTACAAACATCTATAAATATGAACTTTTCAGGAGGTGTTACGACTATGCCACCATTTCTAAAGAAATTCTTCCCGGCAATACTGAAGAAGGCTAGCAGTGCTGAAACAAACATCTATTGTGTGTATGATAGTCAGATTCTGACCTTGTTCACGTCGTCACTATACTTAGCCGGCTTGGTTTCGTCTCTCGTGGCGAGTCGGGTGACGGCGGTACTTGGTCGCCGGAACACCATGATCTTAGGTGGTTGCACCTTCCTCGCCGGTGGCGCCATCAACGGAGGTGCTCAAAATATTGCTATGCTCATATTGGGTCGTATATTGCTTGGCCTTGGGGTCGGTTTCACCAATCAAGTAAGTACAAATAATGCATGCATTCTACACTATTTTTCCTTATTATGTGAGCATAATTTTTTAAGGAAAGTTATTATGAGATTTTAATAAAAGAATATAATCATTAAAAAGTCTCAGGCATAACTTATTGTCATTTCTTGTATTCAAACTTATCAATAATTTGTTATTAGATTTTTTAACAATTACATTCCTTCTTTGAAATCACACAATGATTTTCCCTGATCTTTACGTTATGGTTTGGAGGTTATTTTTAGGGTGAGCGACAAATGAAATGAATGTTTTTGTCTGGACCCTACTTAATTTCTTTCATTTTCATTTGTTTTGGTCACTTCTTGTTGCGGACCCAGCCCATTATTACATCAACGTACAGGAAGGAAATATTACCTCATGTTCTTAATATTACGTTGCAAAATAAATTCTATATTAAAAAACAAAGGCAATATTTCCTTCATTCCTTTTCATCAGAAACTATCTCTGCTACGGTGATGTTGTTAAATATAAAAAACAAATTTTTTTGACAAAAAGTTTAAACTAGTCTTTTCACTTTTTTCTCAATAAATATATTTCACTTATTATCTCTCTACAAATAATTTTCATTTATTATGTCTCATATGCTGTCTTTACAAACAAAAATATAATTAAAAAGATACGTATATATCTTATGTATTTATTATTTTTGACTAAATTTGACTGATAGTTGTATCACATAATTTTAGTGGTTGTTTTTTAGGGACTAGATTACAACTGAAAATTTATCACAAATTACACGCGACAGTTTTTGAGATAATTTTAAATTTATTTTGTTAAGTTAATTAAAATTATTTATTAAAATAAAGCTGAAAATTTTAAGAAAAATGATAGAAAAATACCATTAAAATTCTAAAAGTTCAAATAAGTCCACTGCCCCCTCACTTTTTTTCCCCCTAAGATGCCCGTAAGCAAACCCCACCACCCAGGGAACTTCGGCGGATTGTCAACGGAGCTCTGGCTGGAGCTCTGTAAAGCAGTAGGGTACTCAGAGGAGTTTATCCTGGGGGAAAAAAAATTATGGGGCAACGACATTCCAGTCTCTAGTCTGAGGTTTCGAAGTTTTAATTTTTGTTATTTTTCCTATTTTAAACAACTTTTCATGTTTAACTTAAAGTTTACTTTAAAAAAATTCTCTCATTTTTTTTAAAAAATCATAGAGTAGTCACTTTTTTAATCTCATGTGTAACTTCAAGCCTCTATCCTCCAGATCAAAAAAGAAAATCTTAAATATAGTTAAAGCTAACAGTGGCTAATTCTTTTATATAACATTATTATTTGATATTTGATAATGCAGGCAGCACCAGTGTACCTATCAGAGATAGCTCCGCCAAAATGGCGTGGTGCGTTCAACACTGGATTTCAGTTCTTCATAGCCATCGGAGCCGTCTTAGCCAACTGCATCAACTACGCCACTTCCAAGCACCCTTGGGGGTGGCGCGTATCTCTCGGCCTCGCCGTCGCCCCGGCCGCCATCATGACCATTGGCGCCTTCTTCATCACCGACACGCCCAGCAGCCTGGTCCAGCGTGGCAAGATAGACCAGGCCAGGACTGCCCTTCGCAAAGCAAGGGGGTCCACTGCTGACGTGGAAGCTGAGCTGGACGACCTCATCAAGTGGGCCGAGAAGTCCAAGGCCATCGAACAAGAGCCATTTACGACCATATTCGAAAGGAAGTATCGGCCTCACTTGGTGATGGCCTTTGCCATCCCATTCTTCCAGCAGCTCACCGGCATTAACATCGTGGGGTTTTATTCGGCGAATCTGTTTCAGTCTGTGGGCCTTGGAAACGACGCCGCTTTGCTCTCAACCATTATTCTGGGACTCGTTAACCTTGGATCTATCACGGTGTCCTCCTTTATTGTCGATCGCCTAGGTCGAAGGTTGTTGTTCATCGAAGGAGGCATTCAAATGGTTACTTGTCAGGTATGAAATGATACGTTTCATTTTGTTATCATCAATCAAACCCATTTGAAGTTCAAACTTTTTCTTATCAAAAAGAAAAAGGATTTTCAACATGCCTACTCAATAATACTCCTCCGGTCTTAAACATAATTACATAGTAAAATAGGTTTTATATATACTCTGAAATATTTTTTCATGTATGTTATGTACCCTAAAATATTTTGTGATTTATTTAATGCTTTGAAATATTTTTCAGGTATATTAGTATTTTAAAGTATTATGTGATTCATCTAATAGCACCTTAAAAAATTCAAGTGTGTCTGACATCTTAAAATATTTTATAATGCAATTTTACTCTTAATGTATTAAGGTGCTAGTGGAAACACTTAAAAAAAATAGTTAGTAGAATCACAAAATATTGGACAGTATTAGATGAATTATAAAATATTTTAGGTACCAGACATGTTTTGAAAAAATGATAGATGAACTTTACACTTTATTATTTAAAGATTTTTTTATTAAAAATTATTTTGAATTTAATTACAACAAAGAAATAAACTTTTATCTAAAAGCTTTTTTGAATTGAAAACGGCTGAAATTCATAACTACTGTGATGATGAACTATTATTGTATGAAGATCGCGGTGGCAGTGGCGCTGGCACTTGCGGACAGCACACAGCATCTCCCAAAGGGCAACACAATATCAGTGCTGGTTCTCTTATGCCTCTACGCGGCTGGCTTCGGGTGGTCGTGGGGCCCACTGAGTTGGCTCATTCCGAGTGAGATTTTCCCCATGAAGATCAGAACCACGGGACAGAGCATCAGTATTGCCGTTAACTTCTTGACCATATTCGTGTTGTCTCAGACGTTTATGACGATGCTGTGTCACTTCCAATACGGTGCGTTTTTGTTCTACGCGGGTTGGATCGCCGTGATGACCATCTTCATCGCCCTTTTCTTGCCGGAGACGAAAGGAATACCGCTGGAGGCTATGTACGCTGTTTGGGGCAAGCATTGGTTTTGGCGACGCTTTGTTGTTAAAGATGAAGTCCATCATAATAATAATCTTCCATGATCCATCTCGCACTTGTTAATTTCTATGTTTTTTCTTCCTATTTTCCAGAGAATTTATCTTATGCTGTAAAATTCCAACTGCAGCTAAATATAATTGTTCTTTAGGTTATGACATTAGAAAAAATTCTGCTAGTTTGCTGTTTTTTTCTTTTTTGGTAGGCATAGGCCTTTTTTTTTTGTTAGAAGCAGTTCTATTCAAGATATTATCGGGCACTAAATGTAAACGCCTCTTACAACAAGAATCCAAACTTTAGTTGACCACATTATAGGGGACTAGCTCCTTTCCTTACACCTAACCCTTGTTAATTTTTTTTTTTTAATGAGATAGCATCATGCTTTTATATTAAAAAAAAGGGGGCAATTTTTTTTGGTAAATAAAAATGGGCTAATTTAATTTGCATGGATTCGGCTGTGCATTTGAGCCCATTTGTTAATTTCAATGATCCTATTGCATTATGGGTTAGCCAGAAGGGTAGAAATAAGCTAGGCTAGAATTTAATCAAAAGGAAAGTAGCACCCAGCACCCCAGTAATATTTCTCATATGTATTTAGTATTCTAGTCTTTTCCGTTGAGCAATTTTACCCTTCATGTTTTAAATTTTTTCTAAAATACCTTTTTTTAATCATGACTACTTTTAAATAGAAACTATTTAATTAAAAATATTAAACCTGGACGGTCTAAATCAAATCTAAAAGATCCAAAAGGGATGGGCATTGGGGTGCTTATCCAATTTCATATTTTAGAGAATGACTCATAAATTTGGGAATAAACTAGATTGAGCATTTGTCTTTATAATCAAATCCAATTATCACCTAGCTCTTATATTAAATACAGAAGGTGCTATAATTGTTTTTTTTTTTTTGTTATCACGTTGTTAGTTTTTCTTTCTTTCTTTCCTTTTGGGTGAGATAACATCAGGCATTTATATGAAAACAAAATGGGGCAATTTAATTTGCATGAAATTTGGGTATGCATTTGAGCCCACTTAATAATTTGAATGGTCCTATTATATTATGGGCTAGTCTGGTTAGATATCTAAAGAGTCTTCGGGAAAATGACAATTACAGACTCTTTAATTATGAAAATTGTAAACTAATGAACAACTGAAATTCTATTAATGGACAGTAGTCCTTGTTTGTAATTTAAAATAATCTTAATGGACTAAAAGGTCCCTTAGATTGAATGAATTAAAAAAGTTGTGTATATGAGAATCAAGCCCTAACATCAACCATCCTTGTGGTGTGGCCCTTGGTCGTCATTTGTTAATTTGATCTACCTTGCCCTCCATTGTATTCAATGATTCTTGAAGAATACTTAGCTTGTTATCATGTGGTTTATTAGAAATAATTAATAGAATTGAATAAAATGAAAAGGTTAAAATGCATATAATGCCCCTGAATTTTAGCTATCTTTCATGTAATCTTTATCGTCTTTAAAATTTAAAATCATACCCTCAATTTCATTTGTATAGTTTTACTTATTCAAATATAAAAGTAAATTAAAAAGATAAATTAAAAATATTGAGTTTTGACAAGATTATGTAACTAATAAATAAAATGCAATGTTGATGCTTGAAATGTGTACGATAATTGGCAAATGATTTTGAGAATATAATGGAAAGAATTTCTTACTACATTTAATCAAATACTACCTCTACAAACAAGATATTATAATTAGGATTGGAAGTAGTATAATGAATTAAAAAGACCAAAATCATAATGATCTCAAACAAATTTTCCCCCTTCTTCCCCCCTTCCTTTTCCTTCACATGATTACAGAACCTATCATCTCAATTCAGTTATATCTATTCTTTATATGATTACAATCTTATTAAATTAAAAGTAAAAGTATTACTTCAAATTTAGAAGTTAAAATTCATAAGAAAAAACACACTATATGTTCCTCAGCATGAATTCAAACTCTTCTTTTTTTCTTTTTTGAAAGGAATGTGTTATGAACACGAGTTTAAAATGATAGTCTAATCTCAAAAGACTAACCTATTAAAAAAAATCATTTAAACTTATAAATCTCACCACATTTGTAAGCCTTTCCAATGTAAAACTCATAACAAAATGAACTTGTCTTTTGTCATCAATCATTGTATGTCACATATCACAATTATAGACGCGCAAATACCAAAACTAAATTAGTGGTGCCTATTAAGAAGCTCATGATATGTTCATTTGCATATCCCTTCAACATAAAAACACATATTAGAAAGCATTTAAATATATGGTAATATGACTCTACTCTATTTTTGGCCCATATCATATATATATATGGCCTTTATCTGCTAGTCAAAAAATATATGACCCTTATCGTTCTCATATCTTGATCGGATTGTGCATATAAATTACAATATTTGTTTGAAAATAAATGATATTACATGGTGGCTAAACTTTACGTCAACATTCAATTGTGAAGGATTAGCTCTTTTTACTAGACTCGACGTTGTTAGTATTTGTTTACTAATAATTAAATAAGTTGTGGTCACCTATTCTCATAAAAGAGAACTCTGCATTTAATGTTATTATTTTTTTTTTTGATAAAACAAGGTTACAGTCAGAAACTAACTAACAGGGGCAACATTATGCAAATGAAACGCTGCATCCATCTTCAGCAAGGCAACCACTCTGTCAGGAGGAGAGGAAAGAACATGGAAATCAGTCAACATGGTCCAAGCTTCAGCGGCCAAGGCGTCAGCAACCTTATTTGTCTCTCTATCACAGAAAACCAGATCAACTTCCCATTCCCTTGCAATCATCCGCTGAATTTCCACAAGAACACCATAGTCCGGATGGTCACAAGGTATCTCAGACTGGATTGTACGAACCAGATCACAACAATCACTTTCAACAATGATTTTCTTTAAATTCATGTCCCAAGCTAACTTCAATCCCCAAAGTGCACCCCAAGCTTCTGCCATGAGGATTGAACCATACCCAACCTTATACATAAAGCCCCGCAAGAACTCTCCGTTATGGTCTCTTAACACTCTGCCACAAGTACAAAGACCCAATGCTAGATTCCGTGATCCGTCGACATTAATCTTTACGAACCCAGCCGGAGGTGGTCTCCACCCGACACTCGTAAACACAGAGGATTGTTTCTGCAATAAATTCATGGAGCCCCAAGAAAGACTGGCTCTAGTGCGTGCAAGTAAATCATTAGTTCTCCAAGCAATATTCTTGAAGATACGATCATTTCGCCTCAACCAAATGTTTCTTCCAAGAATTGCAAACCATAACCGAAACTCATAGCCCTCCACCAAGGCCCGTTGGGACAAGCACCACCCAATCCACTCCGTAAGTATTGACTTACTAAAGAATCGATCCCAACACTCCCCGGTGAGCAAGGAGGTCCAGACATGCCTGATAGTGGAACAATCGCGCAACACGTGAAGGATGGTTTCAGGTGCTTCATAGCAAGCTTCACATAGCCCTGTAGAATGTAACCCACGTCGCTGTCGCGACACATTTGTGAGCAAACGATCATGGGAGCAAAGCCACATGAACATGCGGTTACGCTGTGGCACTCGTAATTTCCAGACAGACCGCCATAAGTTCCTATTATGAACAGGAGGGTGAATCATAGAGAGACGTTCATACGCTGACTTAGTCGTAAAGCTTCCATCAGCAGACCATCGCCACACCAGTGTATCGTTTCCCCCTGTAGCATTCACACGTACTCTTTGTATGGCCTCCAAGACCTGAGGGGGTAGAAACTCGCTGAACTTCTGCCAATCCCACGACCCAGATGCCGTAATACACTCGGCCACTTTCCATTCCAAGTAATCCGTTGGGATCTCGCATATAGCAAGGCTCTCCAATTTGTCTAGATGAGGAACCCAACAATCTCTCCAAAAAAGTGTTCGTCGACCATCCACAACACGCCATGCCAACCCCTCGCTGACCTTCTCCCACGCATATCTGATGCCCTTCCAGGTGCTAGACTCAGACCTCTTCCGTTCAACTCTTGGGACAATATCCTCACCAGTCTTGTATTTCTCACGCAAAAACCTCACCCAAAGTAAATCACTGCGAGTAGCTAAAGACCACCCTAGTTTCATCATGAAGGCTTTATTTTGGAGAGAAGCATGACGGAGCCCCAACCCACCATCCTGTTTACGACGGCAAACATTGTTCCAAGAAACCAGATGCACTTTGCGAGACGTAGTCCCACTACCCCACATAAAGTTACGGCAGCGCTTGTCAATTTCACTACAGATTGCACTCGGGAGTGGAACAGTTTGCATGGCATAAGTCGGCAGGGCCGAAACTACAGATGAAACCAGTGTTTGTCGACCTGCCAGCGAAAGAGTATTGGCTTTCCAACTCGATAAGCAAGAATCCATTTTATCTAGAATATATTTATATGTAGACTTCGACACCCTCTTATGGAGAATAGGCATACCCAGATACTTGCCTAAGTCAGAAGAAGGTGCAAAATTCAAGAACGTGCTAATCTCACGGCACCTATTATGGTTCACATTTTCTGAGAAGAAAATCCGTGATTTACTTGCATTTACCTTCTGTCCAGAAATGTCACAGAAATCATCAAGAATAGCTTTGATCACTCCAGCCTGCTCCATATCCGCTTCAGCAAATAGGATAAGGTCGTCACCGAAAAATAGGTGAGAAACTGGCGTACCTCTTTTACTTAATTTAAAAGGGCGCCAGTCGCCATCATCAACAGCACTCTGAATAAGATGGCCCAGTTTCTCAATGATAAGAACAAAGAGATATGGGGAGATAGGATCTCCTTGTCGCACCCCACGAGACGGGCAAAATTCCTTAGCAGCAGTCCCATTCCAAAGTAATTGCATATGGGGAGTGGACACGCAATAATGGATGACGTCTCTTATATAATTAGGAACCTTAAGTTCTGCTAAGCAATGAAAAATAAAATTTCATCGAACACGATCATAAGCCTTCTCCAAATCAATTTTGATGGCCATAAAACCCTTCTTTTTCTTCATAGTTCTCATGGAGTGTATGATTTCCTGAGTTAAAATAATATTATCTGAACTTTGTCTCCCTCTCACAAAGCTACATTGATTAGGCACCACCACAAGAGGCATGATGGGCTTGAGCCTATTTGTGATGATTTTGGTTACCACCTTATAAATCACATTACATAAACTGATGGGTCGAAAATCTTGAATAGTCTGTGGATGATCAATTTTAGGAATCAAGACAATCTGAGTACCATTAATATCCTCAACACAGCAAGGATTGTTGAAAACTTCTTTCACCATAGAAATAAGAGATGCCCCTACAGTATTCCATTGGCTTTGATAAAATAGGGGGTTTAAGACATCCGGTCCCGGAGCCTTAAGGGGCCCCATATCAAAAAGAGCCTGCTTAATTTCTTTCTCATCAATATTCCTCCCTAAACATTGCAGATGCCTATCCTCAATAGCCGGATAAGTACAAGAGAAGTGAAGAGATCCTATTGGAGAGCCAGATTCTGTATAAAGCTCTTCAAAAAATCTGCTTCCCATGTTCATGATTTCATTTGAATCATAAGACCACATCCCGTTATCAAGCTTAAGAGCTTCAATTTTGTTACGTCGTCGTCGTCCGTTAGCAACTGCATGGAAGTACCGAGTATTACAATCCCCATTGATATACCAAGAAGATCGTGAGTATTGCAGCCACATCACCTCCTCTTGCTTAAGAATGTTTTCCAATTCGTGCCACAAATCCTTTCTAATTTTCTCCAAATGCATGGTTGGCCCTGTAGACGCAATTTTACGATGCACTCCCTCAAGTCGCCGATGTAGTTTCTCTTTATTTCATGTGATATTTCCAAAGACCTCCTTATTCCAAGTCAAAAGCTTCTTTGTAAATTCAAAAACTGAAGCACCCCAATCATGTTGTGGTAACCAATTCTCCTTGACAAAATTATGGAACTCATCATGAAGAACCCATGGAGCAAAAAAACGGAAAGGCCGATTATTAGGACAATCAGTGCTGAAATTGTCAGTCTTAAGGAGGACCGGACAATGATCGGATTTGTACTTGGACAAGTGAACAACAGCAGCATTGGGAAAAGCAATATGCCATAAATCATTGACAAAGACTCGGTCAATCCTGCTTTGACTCCTCTCATACCCCCAGGTGAAGCGAGGCCCACTAAAACCAATATCAATCAAGCCACAGTTCGTAATCCAAGCACGAAACAACCTGTCAATCCTAGAGTTACCTTGCCTACCCCTCCCCCAACGATCTTCACTATGGGCAACAACATTGAAATCCCCTGCCACAGCCCATTTCATATTAGAAGCATTGTAGATATTATGAAGGGACTGCCATAACTGTCTTCTAAGAATTGTATTGGGGTGACCGTAAACAAAGGTCAACAACCATTCATCACCATTACCATTCCTCACCTTGCCATGAACAAATTGGTCGCTCGAAGATAGAACAACAAAGTCAGTATTCATGTCCCAAAAGAGCCATATGCCTCCACTAAAACCTCTAGCCTCCACCAAAAATTTATTCGGCCAACCAAGCCTACGAGCTATTAATCCTGCCTTCTCCCCATCCTGCCTCGGCTCTAGAAGTGCAAAAATATTGACATTATTACGAACCATAAGATCAGATAAAAGACGTCGAAAAGAGGCGTCACCGGCACCTCGAGTATTCCAAGTCATTATAATCATAAAGATAAAGGAGAGATGAACACCAGAAACAACAAGAAGCTACTGATTATAAGTCCCAAGCGAGACTTCACCTTCAACACGCATAACCACATCATTATCTTTCGTCAAAGGATTAGAATGCAAGACAAAAGACGTGCGTCCACCTGAACCCGAATCTAAAGGAATAGATGCACCATTTGTAATATTCGGATCAATTGGGACTGAACCCCTATCCACATAATTGACCCCAGCATCTAACGCCCACTATGAGTCAAATGAGGAAGTCCATTACTAATTATTTTATCAACATGAGTGGAACTTTTTGGCACCACTATCTTGCTTGCCGAGCTTACTTGTGTAGGGCCTTGTTTTGCCAATTTATTTTTAACCTTTAAATAAGCCTCCATTGGGCTTGCAACTATAGCACTTCGGTCCACACTTGCACTTCGACCCACACCATCGTTTTTAGACCCACTGCTTGCAACTGCTTGCTTCTTTTTATTGGTAAAATTTTGTTTAGATTATGATTGAGTAAAAGTAAGTTTGATTATAAAATTATCAAAATGAATATGAGTTTTAATAAATAATGAAACATGATTAAAAACATGATTTTACATAATACAATGAAATTAAAATAATTTAATATGAAGAAGTTAAATTTAATGAGTGAATTAAATTTTAAAACTTCAGAGAAATCATAAAAAAATATTTTAAATATAAAGTGAAACATGAAAAAAAATGAATTGAGATAATATAATGAAGAAATGAAATTTAATGAGTGAATTAAATTTGAAAACTTTAGAGATCATAAGAAATATTTTAAATATAAAGTGAAACATGATTAAAAAAATGAATTGATATAATACAATAAATTTAAATTAATTTAATATGAAAAAGTGAAATTTATTGAGTAAATTAAATTTGAAAATATTAGAGAAATGAAAAGGCCTAGGGGGTTTATTCAAAGTAAAATTGGTAAAATTTTGTTTAGATTATGATTGAGTAAAAGTAAATTTGATTATAAAATTATCAAAATGAATATGAGTTTTAATAAATAATGAAACATGATTAAAAACATGATTTTACATAATACAATGAAATTAAAATAATTTAATATGAAGAAGTTAAATTTAATGAGTGAATTAAATTTTAAAACTTCAGAGAAATCATAAAAAAATATTTTAAATATAAAGTGAAACATGAAAAAAATGAATTGAGATAATATAATGAAGAAATGAAATTTAATGAGTGAATTAAATTTGAAAACTTTAGAGATCATAAGAAATATTTTAAATGTAAAGTGAAACATGATTAAAAAAAATGAATTGATATAATACAATAAATTTAAATTAATTTAATATGAAAAAGTGAAATTTATTGAGTAAATTAAATTTGAAAATATTAGAGAAATGAAAAGGCCTCCCAAACATCAACAAATAAGCTCTTCATATTGGAAAATAAGCTCCCTCCTCTTGGCTTATTCCAACCACATGATGAGAGAGCTCAAAATCCAGTAAGCCTAATGTACTATAAGCCCTGTCAAACATCAACAAATCTTCAATGGGTTTATCTTTAAATTTAAGTCATGTTTGGGCCAGCAAACGTTTACCCAAACACTATAAGATTTTACAGCAGATCCAGTCTTACCATTATCATCAATTGAATTTCCACTTTTGGAGTTCATCATGCCATCTATCTGGTTAGACAAGTAAGCCATTGTTAAAGCGCAGGTTAAACTAGAAAATAGGCAATCATTCCATTTTGTTATCAGCTTCATTATTAGAGGTGGTTCGGAACTATTAAAAACAAGAGTGGGAATTCCTTTCATGGTTTCCTGGCAATGATGGATCATGGCCGTCGGGCAAGGAATTGAGAACCATTTTTACGCTATTGTGTTCGCAAGCTAACAGATTTAAATCCAAGCCTTCGTAACATCTTGATTGGTTTGTTGGCTAAAATTAGCTGTGACCTGGTGACGAATTTGAGTAATGACCCGTTTGAGCTTGTGCCCCCTCCCAGTTATAACACACCCAAGGTCTCATTCCAATTCAATGAAGCACTTGGAAAGTTCCTTGTAGACATCAGTCAGATGACACAGTTCATAATGGCTTCTACAGGTGTTCTGATTCTTAGTACACCATTACGCTCTAATGTGTTGGCACCACCGCTGGTATTACTGACCCAATTCTACTACTTTTTCCCATTACTGGCCAAAGCTCGAACTTCAGCGTCATTTGTGGTAGCATTGAGGTACCAATATTCTGGTTTGCGTTTCTGTGGGCCCTCACCTTTTCTGTTCTTCAGGGTTTTGTTATATTGGTGGTGCTCTTTATTTCCTGGAAGCGAGAACTCTAAACATCGTGCCACGTTGTGATCATGGCTATTTAGAGTGTCCGCATTTGGAATACAATTGTTGATGTAAAAATATGGTTGTTCTTTAAGTTATGACATTGGAAAGAATTCTGTTTAGTTTTTTTTGTAAGATTTCATCATGCTTTTATTGGGCCAAAATTTTTTGTGAATAAAAATGGCCCAATTTAATCTGTATGGAATTCGGGTGTGCATTTGAGCCCATTTATTAATTTGAATGATCCTATCGTATTATGGGTTGGTCATAAGGGCAGAAATAGGCCATGCTAGAATTTAATCAAGAGGAAACTAGCACCCAACATTCTAATAATATTTCTCATGTGTATTCAACATCATAATCCTTTTTGCGATGCAATTTTACTCTTCATGTTTAAAATTTTCTCTAAAATATTCTTTTTTAATCATGATTAATCTTAGATAGAAACTCTTTAATTAAAAGTATTAAAGCCGGACCATCCAAATCAAATCTTAAAAGATTCAGAGGGGATGAGTGTTGGGGTGCTTATCTAAGGATGATCACCCAAACCAATTCTATATTTTAAAGAATGAATTATAAATTTGAGAGATAAAATGGATTGAGGTTTTATATTTATAACCAAATTCAATCATCAACTAGTTTTTATATTAAAGACAAAGATGGTATAATTGTTCTTTTGGTTATCACATTGTTCGTTTTTCTTCTTCTTTTTTTAATTTTTTTTTGTGGTGAGATGACCTCATGCTTTATATAATTAAAAAAAAGGGGTAATTTAATTGTATGGAATTTGGGTATGCATTTGAGGCCACTTAATAATTTGAATGGTCCTATTATATTATGGGCTAGTTTGGCTAGGTATCTAACGAGTCTTCAGGAAAATGACAATTACAGACCCTTAAATCTTTAATTATGAAAATTGTAAATAATGAATAATTGAAATTCTATTAATGGACAATAGTCCTTGTTTGTAATTTAAAATAATCTTAATAGAGTAAAATGTCCCTTAAATTGAATGAATAAAAAAGTAGTGTTTATGAGACTCAAGCCGTGACATCAATCATCCTTGTGGTGTGGCCCTTGGTCATCTTCTGTTAATTTGATCTACGTTGCCCCCCATTGTGTTCAGTGATTCTTGATGAATACGTAGCTTGTTATTGTGTGGTTTATTAGAAATAATTAATGAGAATTGAATAAAATATAAGGGTCAAAACACATATAATGCCCCTGAATTTTAGCTATCTTTCATATAATCTTTATCATCTTTAAAAGTTTAAAAAGCATACCCTCAATTTCATTTTTATAGTTTTACTTATTCAAATATATAAGTAAATTAAAAAGATGCATTAAAAATATTGAGTTTTGACAAGATCATTTAACTAATAAATAAAATGCAATATTGATGCTTGAAATGCGTTTGATAATTGGCAAATGACTTCGAGAATATGATAGAAAGAATTTTTTATTATATTTAATCAAATACTACATCCGATCCTAATTATAAGGCCTCACTTGTAATCTAGAATTAGGACCGAAGGTAGTATAACGGATTAAAAAGACCAAAATCATAACGCTCTCAAAACAGATTTCCCCTTTCTTCCCCCCTTCCTTTTCCTTCGCATGATTATAGAACCTATCATCTCATATCTGGATCTCAATTCAGTTATATCTATTCTTTATACGATTATAGTCTTATTAAGTTAAAAGTAAAAGTGTTCCTTCGAATTTAGAAGTTAAAATTCATAAGAAAAAAATGTACATGTTCATCAACATAAACTCAAACTCTTCTTTTTTCTTTTTTGAGAGGAATGTGTTATGAACATGAGCTTAAAGTAAGAACACAATTCCAAAAGACTAACCTGTTAAAAAGAAAAATTCTTTAAACTTATAAATCCTGCCACATTTGTAAGTCTCCCCAACATAAAACTCATGTCTTTAGTCATCAATCGTTATATGTCACATATTACAATGATAGACGCGCAAATACCAAAACTAAATTAGTGGGCCTATTTTGAAGCTTATGATATGTTCATTTACATATCCCTTCCCCCCCCTTTTTTTTTTTGGGAATACCGTCATATCCCTTCAACATAAAACACATATTAGGAAGTATTTAAATATATAGTAATATGGCTCTACTCCATTTTTGGCCCATATCTCCTATATATATACGGCCTTTATCGTTCCCATATCTTAATCGGATTGTGCATATAAATTACAGTATTTGTTTGAAAATAAACAATACTACATGGTGGCTAAACTTTATGTCGACGTTCAATTGTGAAAGACTAACCATTTCCATTAGACTCAATTATGTTAGTGTTTGTTTATTAATAATTAAATAAGAAGTGGTCCCCTATTACCATAAAAGAGAACTCTGCATTTAATGTTATTATTGTGACACTAATTATTCCATACTCTGAATAATATTGCAATTTAATGCGTGTCAACTAGCATGTGTATATGTGCACATATACACCAAATACAGAATAAGAATTGCATTTCAAAGTGTCTTTAACTTGTATTGCTGAGGGCTAAAGATGGTTTCATGGTGGATCAGATTCATGTCCCTAACAGTGGCTCTACTCTTTGCAATTTTTATGGCCATCTCTGTTGGTAAGCTCTTATTTAACATATTTCTTCTTTCTCTTATGAAATTATATATGCT